CTCGTGATCCACCCGCCTCGGCCTCCCAAAGTGCTGGGATTACAGGCTTGAGCCACCGCGCCCGGCAAGATTGACTCTTAAGAAATAGAACATGTAGGCCAGGTGCGGTGAGCCAGGCCTGTAATACAACCACTTTGGGAGGCCGAGGCGGGTGGATCACGAGGTCAAGAGATTGAGACCATCCTGGTCAACATGGTGAAAGCCCGTCTCTACTAAAAATACAAAAATTAGCTGGGCATAGTGGTGGGCGCCAGCTGCTCAGGAGGCTGAGGCAGGAGAACGCTTGAACCCAGAAGGCGGAGGCTGCAGTGAGCCAAGATCGCACCACTGCATTCCAGGCTGGCAACAGAGCGAGACTCCATCTCAAAAAAACAACAAAACACACACACACATACAGAAGAAAGAGAACATGTAGTCCAGAAAAGGGACATCCAAAGAACAAAAAACCTAGCATAGTGTTCCTAACCCTATGCAGCAAAGAAGTTTCTCTTTGGAAAACATTCCAGTCCCTAAAAGCGTGAACGGTTTTATGGCATAAGAATAGTTTTCAGGCTTTTCCATGTTGCAAATAAATCTATCTCACTGCTCCAATTCTCCCTTACAAAACAAAGTAATTCAGTAATAATCTGACATCTCTTGATCCTTCACAGGAGAAGAGGTGCTCTGGTCAATGAATACCAGTATTACGGAAAACTGGAATACTAAAGCTTCGTTATAAGTTAATAAATAGGCATTCTGGCCAGCCGTGGTGGCTCACACCTGTAATCCCAGCACTTTGGGAGGCCACGGCAGGTGGATCATCTGAGGTCAGGAGTTCAAGACCAGCCTGACGAACATGTGAAACTCATGTCTACTAAAAATACAAAATTAGCCAGTCATGGTGGTGCACGCCTGTAATCTCAGCTACTCAGGAGGCTGAGGTAGGAGAATCGCTTGACCCCGGGAGGCGGAGGTTGCAGTGAGCTGAGATCGTGCCATTGAACTCCAGCCAGGGCAAAAAGAACAAAGCTCTGTCTAAATAAATAAATTAAATAAACAAACAAACAAACAAACATTCTAACATACATGTTAATTTCCAAGATTTGGCTAATATGTCAGTTGTTGAAAACTCTTTAAAATATTGAGGTATCAATAAAATTAGGTTTCTGAATCTTTGAAACTGAGAAGTAGACAAGGAAAGTCAAGGTGACCAAACCAAGACAGTGGCACCCCAAGAAAGGGCCTTAGTAGCCACCTGGAATCCCTCTATCTCACAGTGGTCTCTCTAATGACAATATCATTCACAGAACATATTTCTTTCTTTCTTTCTTTCTTTTTAAAAGATGGGGCTTCACCATGATGGCCAGGCTGGTCTTAAACTCCTGACCTCAGGTGATCCACCCACCTCGGCCTCCCAAAGTGCTAAGATTATAGGCGATAGGCGTGAGCCACCTCGCCCGGCTTATTTCCTTTTTTTTTTTTTTTTTTTTTTAACACAGTCTTGCTCTGTTGCCCAGGCATGAGCCACCACACCCAGCCACAGATCATATTTCAAACTAGAATTTGGTTGCCTTAAGGAATAAAAATGACAACCTAGGCCAGGCACCATGGCTCATGCTTGCAATCCCAACACTTAGGGAGGCCAAAGCGGGCGGATCACCTGAAGTCAGTTCAAGACAAGCCTGGCCAACATGGTGAAACCCCGTCTACAAGAAATACAAAAAATTAGCCAGGCATGGTGGTGGGTGCCTATAATCCCAGCTCCTCTGGAGACTGAGGCAGGAGGATCGCTTGAACCTGGGAGGTTGCAATGAGCCGAGATCCCAACATTACATTCCAGCCTGGACAACAAGAGTGAAACTCCATCTCAACCAACACCCACAACAAAAATACCTTTATTACATACAAACCTGAGCCAGAAGATACACAGGCATCTATAAAATTTACACTTAACAGAAATCTTTCAGCAACATGATATTTTTACATCCATTACCACGTTTGATCTTTACAACAAAATTATGTGGAAAAGCAAGCTGGTATTATGTGCCTCTGTTTCCCAGATAAGAAAACTAAGACCTAAGATGAATAAATAATTTGTCCAAAGTTACACCGTAAGTACCAGAGTAAAGCCCAAAATATAGATTTTTGACAGCAAAATCAGTTCTGCTAGTTCTATATTGATTGATCATTTAAACACTAACAAATCTACCAAACTGAACTTACTCTGGACCCAAGTAAAAAACAATTTTTTTTTTCAGATGGAGTCTTGCTCTTTCACCCCAGGCTGGATTGCAGTGGTATGATCTTGGCTTACCGCAACCTCCGCCTCCCACGTTCAAGTGATTCTCCTCCCTCAGCCTCCGGAGTAGCTGGGATTACAGGCACGCCCCATCACATCCAGGTAATTTTGGCATTTTTAGCAGATACAAGGTTTCCCTATGCTGGCCACACTGGTCTTGAACTCCTGGCCTCAAGCAATCTGCCCACCTCAGGCTCCCAAAGTGCTGTGATTACAGGCATGAGCCACCACACACAGCCTCAAGTAAAATTTTATGAAGAGGGGAAGGTACTTTCAAAGAAGTATAATATATACAAGGAAAATTATACAAACCACACATGAAGATAACAAAAAGTGAACACACCCACATAACCACTGCTCGGGTCAAAAAATAGGAGTAAAGTTTTCCTATATTAATTGACTACCACTGGAATCATATGGATGAATTTTTTTTTTTTTTTTTGAGACAGAGTCTCCCTCTGTTGCCCAGGCTGGAGTGCAATGGTGCGATCTTGGCTCACTGCAACCTCCACCTCCCGGGTTCAAGAGATTCTCCATCCTCAGTCTCCCGAGTAGCTGGGATTACAGACGCACATCACCACGTCCAGCTAATTTTTGTAATTTTGGTAGAGACAGGGTTTCACTTTTTGGTCAGGCTAGTCTGGAACTCCTGACCTCAGGTGATCCGCCCACCTTGGCCTCCCAAAGTGCTGGGATTACAGGCATGAGCCACCGCGCCCGGCTTTTTTTTTTTTTTTTTTGAGATGGAGTTTTGCTCTTGTTGCCTGAGCCTGGATGCAATGACACGATTTCAGCTCATCGCAACCTCCGCCTCCCGGGTTCAAGCAATTCTCCTGCCTCAGCCTCCTAACTGGGATAACAGGTGTCTACCACTCACCACCACACCCGGCTTACTTTGTATTTTTTTAGTAGAGATGGGGTTTCTTCATGTTGGTCAGGCTGGTCCCAAACTCTTGACCTCAGGTGATCCGCCTACCTCGGCCTCCCAAAGTGCTGGGATAACAGGTATGAGCCACCTCGCCTGGCCTTGGGTGAACTTTTTTTTAACACCCAGCTCTGAGACTAGCCATCACATATTCCCTAATTCCCCATCTTCTACTTACCAGCTAAGGGATCCCTATACTGGTGAATGACTTATGGAGAAGTAATACTGTAGAGAAAAAGGTTGACAGTGAACTGGTGAAAACCCAGAGTTCACTGATATTAAGAATCAATCAGCCATGCGCAGTGGCTCACGCCTGTAATCCCAGCACTTTGGGAGGCTGAGGCAGGTGGATCACCTGAGGTCCAGAGTTCAAGAACAGCCTGACCAACATGGAGAAACCCTGTCTCTACTAAAAATACAAAGTTAGCCAGGCATGGTGGCACGTGCCTGTGTTCCCAGCTACTTGGGGGGCTGAGGCAGGAGAATCGCTTGAACCCAGGAGGCGGAGGTTGTGGTGAGCCGAGATCATGACACTGTACTCCAGCCTGGGCAACAACAGTGAAACTCTGTCTCAAAAATAAATGAATCAGACTGAGTGTAGTGGCTCACACCTGTAATCCCAGCACTTTGAGAGGCCTAAGCCGGCCAATTACCTGAGGTCAGCAGTTCAAGAATAGCCTAGCCAACATGTTGAAACTCCATCTCTATTAAACATAAAAAAGTCGCCAGGCACGGTGGCTCACACCTGTAATCCTAGCACTTTGGGAGGCCGAGGTGGGTGGATCACCTGAGGTCAGGAGTTCAAGACCAGCCTGGCCATCATGGAGAAACCCCATCTTTAAAAAAAAAAAAAAGTCAGCCAGGCGTGGTGATGGGCACTTTTAATGACAGCTACTTAGGAGGCTGAGGCAAGAGAATTGCTTGAACTCAGGAGGCAGAGGCTGCAGTGAACTGAGACAGCACCACTGCACTCCAGCCTGGGCAACAGAGCGAGATTCTGTCTCAAAAAAAAAAAAAAAGAATGAATCAGCCAGACACGGTGTCTCACACCTATAATCATAACACTTTGGGAATCCAGGATGGGTGGATCGCTTAAGCCCATGAGTTTGAGACCAGCCTGGGCAACATGGTAAAAACCTATTTCTACAAAAAAAAAACATAAAAAAACTAGTCAGGCAGCTGGGCACAGTGGCTCACACCTGTAATCTCAGCACTTTGGGAGGCTGAGGCAGGCAGATCATGAGGTCAGGAGATCAAGACCATCCTGGCTAACATGGTGAAGCCCTGTCTCCACTAAAATACAAAAAAATTAGCCGAGTGTGGTGATGCGAGTCTGTAGTCCCAGCTACTTAAAAGGCCGAAGCAAGGGAATCACTTGA